TAAAATAATACGAAATTAAACGAACTAAACCGATTAATGTTATTAACAATTAAATATGTACAAGGTAAATCGTTGTATCGTAGTATATTGTTTCTCATTTCATCATTAAATAATTTCTTTACTTTTGTACACTTACAGAAAAGGCACACCACACTCAACAATATTTCTTAAGTATTAATAGGCCGAGTTAGTGTTAAATCGGTGGATATGCAACCACCAGTACGCTCAGTCCTAACGAAATCAATATATTTAAAAGTAATATAATATAGCTTTAATGTATTCTTCACTTAAGGGTATTATTGACAAAACGCTACAATTTAAGTGTTTATTATGATCTATGAAAAAATGATTTTTATTAATTGTAAATAAAATATAAAAGAGCATTTTTGTACACTGTCAAAACACCTTAAAAGTAAAATATTAGGGTAGTGTATTTTTATTCTCAAAGTTATGTCGACAAGGCTTAGGGTTGAAATTAAGTAAACAGAACAATTATTGTTAGGACCTTGTGTAATGCTGGTTGTATATCTGGCGACCTAGTCACTAACCGACCCAATTGTTCAACGACTGTTAAGAAATAATAAAAAAATAATAAATATAGCGGTAAAAATATAAACAACTGATAAATAATAAATATTATGTTACTATATATGGGTATATGAAGAGAGTGCATTAAGTTAAAAAAGGAATTAAAAAAATATTGTAGGAATATCGCGGTTTTATCTTGCATTAATATTTTTATCGAAAAAAATGTTTTTATATGTGCCCAAAAAAATAAACTAGTTGTAATGAAACAAAAAAAACGAGATGCTAACGTTCTATCAAAATTTAAAGTTTATTTTTGATTTTTGTATCAAAAAAGTTATATGGAGCAGAGAATAATAAAAGACTCTAGAAACAGTAAAAAATCGTTTTCACAAAGAATTTAAAGATGATCGTTCATATCAAATATGTACGATAATAGATATATGATTTTGAACACATTTATTATAATTTTTTTAATGAATATTTGTTTCAATAAAAATAACAACCAATAAAAATCCTTTTTTTTTTCGGGCACATAAAGCAAACATTTTCTATTAGTTCGGTATTATAACAAGGAATATTGACAACAGTTCTATAGAAAATTTCGAATTCATATTTTGACAACTGCTAACAGTAATCTTTGGATACAGAGTTAATATAAAATATAATAATAAAAAAAACGTACATATATATATAGCTTTGTATATATACGTTGTGGTAACCCTTATATATACAAGAAAAGAACCTATCCGACGTACAAACGAATTACGTCGATGAATATACAGGGTGACGAATATTTAGCTGTCAAAAGGTTTATTTTCGTTTGATTATAAATTGTAGAAGGACCTAAAATTTTTTTTTTTAATTTCTATGTAAAATATTCATAATCGCACTATATTTAGAATAAAGCAAAATTAAAAATATATTCATAACTTATAATAAAATTATATTTTTTCGCCAAAATCTTTTAATGTAGAACTTATTACATCAAACTAAATTTACCATTTCAAATTAGAGAGGGTATTTTAGAAAAAATCGATATATTTTAGTTTCGTTCTTCAAAATATCTATATCAATTTAGATATATTGTCAAAAATAAAATATTCAACATTCTGTGTGAAATTTAGACATTCATTAATGAACTAGATATATACAAATAACTTCATAATATCGACTTCGATATATGGTCAACATTCCTATCAAAATAAACCCCTATTACTAATTTGTCGTGTAGTATCAAACTCATAGTGTAAAAAATCGATAATTGTAAAAACAATTATCGATATATCGATAATTTAATATATCGATATTTTTCGACATCCCTATTAAAACATCAATTTTTCACGTTTAATCGAACCAAAGACACCCTGTATATTCACGTGTGTGTCAGAACAACGAACACCATTACACTTAACATTTGTTTCCCAGACCGGAGTTGGCAGGTAAAACAAATATACTTCCCGGCTTAAAAATTGTAACTCAAAATCTGCATTCCGCCAACTCAGCTCTCGTACTTTTTGCCTCTAAACTCTAAAACCAATCTCTCTGTCATCAGTCACTCCCCAAAAGAACACTAAAATTATCATTAATAGTTTTTTCTTTTTCCTTACTTAAAGAGAATTTACTTTGCTAATTGTATATATGTTATGAAGGTCAGGTACATAATTGTATATATTATATTGTAATCGAAGTTTTTTGTTATGGGAACAAATATCTTTGAAAGGATACACTTTCTACCGTTCTAAGATAAAGAAAAGAACATGTTATTATTAGTATTTGGAACTTACAATAAGCTTTTTAAGTAGAATGTACTCATTATAACTATATTAGGGATGTACTACACGAATCGAATTTTCAAAATATCGATAGTTTAACTTTTGATACTTGCTAATTTTCTATCGATATTTTCAACGCGACACATTGCGCCGATCAATATGTTATGGTTGTATATCGATACAAATTTAACATATGTTTGATATCAGGATATTTAATAAGTGAAACAGTTCCGAGTATAGCAAATTTCTGTGCATGAAGAAAAAATATCGATAATTTAATATTTCGATATTTTTCAACATTTCTATTAAAATCACTAAAATCAATTTTTGCCTTGCTTTTCACATGATTTTATCCGAATTTTACTGCAAAACTAGAACAAATTTAATAATTTAATATCGATACTTTTCGACCATCCTATTAAAAACATTAGAATCGTTAATTTTAAATCAAAAAGCGTTTTTTTTCGTTTTTTTACTTAATGCCAATGGCACTGTTTTAAATGTCATAATAATTGTTATATATTTAAGATATGCCTGGGGCTTTTGTAAATCACTGGTATTTTCTATTGATATTTTCAATGCGACACATTGCACCATCAATATACCGTATGATCGAAAAAAACGGCGTCCAGTTGGGTTGGAAATGAACATAGTTGACATTCCCGTATAATTTTATATATAAAATGATAGCGTTCTTCATTTCATAGCCAACCCTGACGCCAGTTTTTTTCCGATCATATTGTATTATATTGTGTCTCAATACAAATTTAAAATGTTTTATTTGGGGTACTTAAATAAGCGAAACAGTTCTAGCCAATTTCTATAATATGAAGAACAAATATGGATAATTTAATATTTCGATATTTTTCAACATTTTTTCTATTAAAACTATTAAGAGTCCGGGTTTTCTTGTTTTTTTATATTGTTTTATTCGAAGTTTATTACAAATAAAGAACAAATAAAATGATTTAACAAAAATATTTTTCGACAATCCTAATATAAACATTAGAATCGTTTATTTAAAACCAAGAAGTATTTTTTACAGTGTATTTTTCTATAAATGTCTGGCTTTTCTAATCATATCTGGCTTTTATAAATAATCTTATACGAATGATTTCATTTTAAATCACTCTTTGTCTGTATTAAAAGTATCGATATTCCGAGTAACGATTTTTCACTGAATCGATTTACAACATCGAAATTATTGGCAGTATAGCACATCTCTATTTTTCAAAACGTTGGCAACACCCAAAAAAATCTTTTTTTCAAAACTCAATCAAAATTTAGTGAATTTTGATGGCTTGACTTGACTTTATGTAGAATGTTGAGAAATTTTCATGTAACTTGAACTTGCGAAAATTCTTGTATACTAAACTAGCTGAATAGTATACAAATCAGCCAATATTTATATCTATTTTAGATGAAATATGATTTTAGTTTGAATTCTTTCCAGTTAGTTTATAAACTAGTGAAGTAGGTAATTTAACGGTAAGATATACAAGGTTGAACACCCTGTACGTTAAAGATATCTGTGAATTTAAGGATTATTCTTACTTTTTTATGTTTAAAATGATATAATTTATGTGTATTCCTTTGGATCTTCTTTTGAGATAGACATTCCTTCGAGATACTAATTTTATAATATGTTCTCTTTCTTCAACTTAGAACAATAGATTTCACTCCTTGAAATCAATAACTATAATTTGCCGCCCCCTTACGCTTGAACACCCTTTTCCAGAGGGTGTGAAGCGAATCATTAAAAGGGTTCAAACAACGAAAGAGTCTCCTCAAAAAGAACCTATTGCGTAGTTGCATTATTTCGGAGTTTAAAACCAAAATTCGCGAATAATTTTTAAAGAAATCGTTTTTTCCTTAATGTTGAGCAATGTATATATTCTATGTGTATATAGTATTTATTTATTTAGAAAGTGTGGAAACCTTTGAGATGTGTGTTAAGATAGTATTTGTTGCATAACTCTATACAAGACTTTAAAATAACTAATATTTATAAAAATAAATCTATACATTAAATATAATCTTTTACATTAAATAAAAAAGTGTAGTTATTTTCTTGTCGATAAATATTAGAAAATATACTTAGATATACTTGAATGAATAGAAATGACGTCACAGTAGGAGTACAAATTTTTGACAGCGACAGCTGATTGGGAATTATTTAGCCATTGTTAAACGTTAACATCAAAAATTTAAAGTTTATAAATAAATAACAAGTATTTTAGAAAACATTTAATTTCGATGTTGGAGTTTAAATATTTGACAGGGATTTATATTTTACCACAAATAGCTGTCATTGTCAAAAGTATCAGCATTTGACATAGATAAGCTTAACCTAAAATTTTCTAAGCCTACTACGACGTTTTATATTAATTCGATGGTATATTATATTATACTACATAAAGTATTGTACTTATTTAGAAAATATTTCATAAATAATAGATAATGTTATTAATTACCAAAAAGTTGCTTCTGAATATGCATAAAAATGTTTTCTTTCTTTTTTAACTCAGAAATAATTATAAATACAAAATATTATAATCGTAATAAATTATAAATTTTGTTTATTATTAAATGGTGTTGAATATTGACATAAATATTGACAAAAAAATATAAAATTTTAAGAAATAAATCATATACCTAAATCATTTGTTTTAATGTTTCTTTTTCACTAATAAAACATATATTTAAAGAATTCAAAGTTTTGATCGATATTTAACCATATTTTGATATTCTCAAATTGATGAAGTATATTTTCTAATACTGAAATATAAATTGCCTTGATTCAAAAATTAAAAAAAAAGTTAAATCAAATTAAATAGCGTAAATACAAGTCATGCAACAAATAACAATGATTGGTTATTTAACCAAATATTCAAGAGATTTATTATAAACAGTTACTTAATTTGGATGTAACAATTTTTCTGATTGAAATCACATAGAGATTGTAGATGAATACTTTCGTTATACTGTTGTATAAGCAAATTGTTAACATTTCAGTTATTCAGATAAGATATAGAATATTTTCATTTATTTACCATTATAATTAAATGAAATCCACTTTTATATAGTAGGTACTAACTACTGTAGTGTTGTGTTTCTTCAACACTCAACACCACAGTTCCAAAACTATTTATTCTGTTCCTGTGATTCCAAAACCGTTAAAACCAGTATTAATCTACGACGTACGTGACACAATTCTGTACCAGTGGCACTAAAACTTTTTTAAAACTCGAATTAATCCAACACCTACGTGACACATCCTCAAGGTTTCCACACGAGAAACAAATCCGAATCAAAACATTATCCTATTGTAAAAATCAGTCGATGCGTTTCTTTATTCAATTTCATTAAACGTGTAAAATGCAATTACGTATGAACTACCTATGTTTATTTAAACTATTTTTTTTCCGTTTAAGGCAGCAGATGACTCGCGGTTGGTTGGTATTATAGTACTTGTTGCTCTCTTACAGTTTTTTTGTTCCCCTCCGTATACATCTAAATATTTTCGTTCTCCCCGATTATACGGAGGTGATTTTTTTTTGGAGTTTTGTAAAAACATTCACCTATATCCTGCGAACCCCATTCCTTTAACCGTTGGGCTCTAAAACTGGGGATAGTCTCCTGTGTGCCCCGTTATTGAGAGAGTCCTCCAGGATGGTAAGTTGGGTGGTGTTGGGGGAAAGCTCCCCGTTGGAGAGAATGCTCGCGCCTTCGTCCTGAATGGACGAGGGTTTGGGCTTGACAGCGTGGTCGAGAAGGTGGAGGAAGTCGTAGAACTTGGATGGCTTCACGCTGTTGGAGTTGGAGTCTTCCACGTAGTGCCTGAGGAGGGGTTCGGATTTGTTCTTGGCCATTTTGCCTCTACTTTCATAAGCGTAATACTGGAAAAAAGGACAAAAGTTGTTAGTACCACAGATTATAATCTTTGTTTTTTCTTTATTGTTTTTCGTGGTTCCAATTTTCGGAATCGGGCACTAGTTAGGTTACTAGTTTGCGCACATAGCACGCCCACTTATGGCCTCTAAAATTGTGCACAGCGCCTGACCGGCACAGTTATTAGAGAGATATCGGAGAACCGAATAGCGTCATCCAGTATTTACGCGTACCTTATCATGGTTACGAGATGCGCGAGTCAATTTTTAACGCAACACCCGCTAATAACGTTACCGCCTGACGTAATTTGCGGATCAATTACACCAAGCGCTCTTTCTAAATAACCTCTGATAACGTTTAAAAATTGCTTAAATGGGCATGTGCGGGTATTTGACAACCGGAGCGAGATCTTTTATTTTAGGTTATGTTTGAATTGTTTTGAATTATTGCTTTAGTTTTATTAGGTAATTTGATATTTAAGTAGCTTGGATTAGTTTTAATTAAATAAATATGGCCCAAAATATGGATTCCACCTCTTCCAATACTAAAGAACCTATAAAGAGTCTTAGGTTTACAGCAGATGACGACTTAGCCCTTCTAAGAGAATTTGTTGCTTGTTGCCCTATACCCACTGGCAGACGTTGAACAATAAAGCACTGGAAATAAGCACTTTAGCTCTTTAGTTAAAGTTAAAATACCTAGTAAACAAAACAATTTCAAAGTTAGGTTAAGTTTAAATAGCGGACGCGACGCGATCAGAATTCTTTCCGATCCGATAACTATAAATGAAGAGAGTTAATACCACCTCACGTAAAGGAAATAACACCTGGCCTTATTAACGTCCATGCACGCTATTCGGTTTAGCGATATCTCTCTATTACGCTGTTTATTGTTATTTTACGCGAGTTTATTTTTGCGCACAGGAAATTTGACTCGTTTGCACATCGTCATAAAAAACAATTTTCGTACCACGAATTAGGGACAAGATTTTTATCTGTATACTTATAGGATACCTAAACTGTGTTAGTACTGTCGGTTTGTACCGGGTGTTCCGCTAAGTATAGCTGACGGCTATATCTCGGAAAGTATTAAGCTTAATTTTCATGCGTCCATTATCCGGCGATACGATATTAATTTTATTGGGGAAATTTAAAGACTTCGATTGGTTAGAAAATTAGGCAGTTTTTAAATTTATTGCATTTTCATGCCTCCGTTCATCGGACATATGATTTGCTTGTGATTGGTGTCATTTTATATTTTCGTTTCCATAACGATTTCGCTGTTTTACTTATAGTCTAAGAGCTAGCAACGTTTTCGAGAGAGAATTTTAAGAAAGCTGGTTCTTTAATATATCTTTTGCTACGCTCTCCTGAACAGAGTGCGGACCGTCTGGCTGCCGATAGACGTTGCGTTCACTACTGCGCATCATATCTGTATTCAACATCTGTTCGCTACTGCGCATCGCATATTCGCCCAGTATTTCAGGAACTAAGGAGACTAGAACAAACCTATGTGTAGCATATTTAGTTTCATAAAAAAGTTGCAAAGTAATGTGAAAATTGCATCATTGTATCTCTACTCATAAACGAGAAATCCAATAAAACATACGAAAATGGAATATCCCGTGCAGATGTGATGCACAGTAGTGAACCGCAGTTGTCTACCGGCAGCCAGACAGCTCGCACTTTGGTCGGGAGACCATAGCAAAAGATATACTAAAGAACCAACTTTCTTCAAATTCTCGTTTTCCCGACGGTGCTAGCTCTTGTACTATTATATTTTTATTATGGTTAGATTAAACTTGTCAAAACGTCCGTTATTGTCTATGATTATCGTACGATCTTTCTCTGTTGAGGAACTGGACGGTGCTAACTCTTGTACTATTATATTTTTATTAAGGTTAGATTAAACTTGTCAAAACGTCCGTTATCGTCTATGATTATCGTACGATCTTTCTCTGTTGAGGAACTGGAGTAAAAAATTCGGATAAAAAGTGGCGAATAAGAATGACCAATCAGAGCGCCGTCGGACCATCATATCAACGAATAACGGACGCGTGAAAATCAAGCTTTAAGCCGGAGTCTCATGCATCCGAAATCCGATGGTACGACATCCGAAATTTGAAGTTATCCTGTGAAATAAAAAAAGCCTGTCACATACATCCGAAAGTTCGTTCCGAAATTTGACAGTTTTGACATTTAGACCTGTCATTCCTATCAACAGTATCAACATTATTACATGTATTATTGGAGAAAAACTTATAAAAATAACTTCCTCGCCAAATATCCCGAAATTGCTCACTTCCCACTAAACTTGTTTTTAAAAACCAATGTTTTCAAAAAAAGTGAGGTTAAAAAACACGATATCGTATAAAAGTTAAACAAAATTTAACTTTATACGACGTCGTAAGATTAGTTAAAAATATCCGATAAAAATTGGTGTCAAAATATTTCGACCAATAGGAGCACCGTCGGATCGTATCGGATTTCGGAGGCATGAGATTCCGGCTTTAGGCTAGAGCCTGCGGAAAAAAATTAGGACTAAATAGGCCATGAGAAATTGCTGAAAATTATTTTTAAGTTTGTAGAACAGCTGCTAAAGGGCGCAACTGCTATGGCAAATAAGAAAATGAAATTTTTAGAAAATTTTGCCTACACAAGGGGTACTATAAATAATAGCATAGTCATTTTCTAAGTCCGTATGTAAACTAAGAGATTTTCACTACCGAATAATAAAGAACAACAATGAAATGTTAAGAAAAAAACTTACCTGTGGATTCTCTGTTATATGAACGTTTCCATTAAGAACGGCACCGTTCATATGGGTACGTTTGTTGTTAGTCCCGTTCACGTGACCATTTGGGAAATCATTGGCACCCTGTGAATCAGAAGACTAGATAATACAATTAGTTATTTACCTTTTATACAAATTACTTGGCCTAAAATGATCAACAGCTAGAATTTTAGACCATAGTAGACAGTAAATTATTTAACTCGAAACATTTATCACAAACAAATTGTATAGGAATAAGACATAATATATACATAAGACCTGCATAGCCTATTTTTTATTCCTAAAAAATAAAATACCTTGGTATCCAAATGATCTGGTGTGATAGGAGGAATATGTGAGGTTTGTTCTTCAGGTACTAATTGTTCGATTTCGTGTTCGGTTGCGGTACACGGCTGTTCCATTCTGTAATCAAATTAAAAAGAGTAAATAATAAGTTAAAATCTTTGGTAAGTGAAAAAAAAACAGTTAAAGTTATAAAAATATAAAGCAAGAATACTGCAACAGTCAAGCATACTGTCAACCATCTATAGTTCAATGATTAGGGACAAACCCAAAAATGGAATAAAATACTACATACATACTATAATAAAACTGTATGAAAACAATATTTTTTCTTTTATTCAGTTTTTACAAAAAAGTTGCAGAATACACAATAACAAAAAAAACTGATATGTATCATGCGATAATTGTCATAGCGGTAAATCTGCTTAACATATGCAAAGAGACTTGTTGTGTCAGTCGTCGTGATAGAATCGTATGTCCGATGGCTGACAGTTTGAGAAATTTTTAGTAATCAATTAGTGTTTTCAGAAGATTTAACAGTGAAAGTGATTATAGTATTCATAAGAATTATATTTAGTGAATATTTTCATGTTTCACGTTGTCACGGAGGTATGGAGACCATATGCAGCCGAATGCTGCCAGCGTGAGAGGATAAAAAACTTGATTTGAAAGCTTGTGTATTGATTGCTATGTATAAAGAAGGAAAATAATAAAAATGTTAACTGATTTTTGTAAAAAAATATTACAGTTCATGTGAGTCCCGTGCTTGAGAAAAGAAGAAGAACATATGTAAAATGTGGGGTTAGGTGACAAAATATCGAAAAAACTCATCAAAATCTTAAGTTAAAAGTTGTGCAGATATTATGATATTACATCTTTGTAAGTTGCAAATTATAAATACAAGGACTATAGGAAAATATCAATTTTTTACTTATATTTTCGAAGGTTTTAAAAAATTGTGCTTTTTCCAAAAGTCGAAATTCTTAGCTCTGTTATCTATGACCATTATCAAGGTACTTACCTCACTTGAACAGTTCCAACGTGCGGCATGTAATGCGCAACCGCAGGGCGATAGTTGCTGGAAACGGCCAAGCGTTCCCTCGCCACCGCTCTTCTCTTTATACAACGCCTGCGCAGCAAGATGAACGCTATACAACACCAGATGCAGATCAGTGCCAATACAACACCCAATATGATACCTAGAAGAAAGATAGTTTTTTAAATATGCTCAGATTTGACTGTATACGTTTTAGCTAAATACATACATTTTAACAACATTTAAACGAACAATTTAAATATAATTTGTAGAAAATTAAAACAATATTTCTTTTAATTTGAATTAAGCCAGGCTCTATTTTTACTCATACTATGGAGTGTAGAGATGAGGAGAAATATCTCTTATGGGACTTTATTTGAAAAAGTGATCACAAAAATGGGAAGAATAAGGGTTCACCAAATAGCCACAGTGGCGCTAATGACGCATAAATCTAAAAAATAAAAAGTAACCATAGATAAGAGAATAAAAGTAACATAACCAAACATTACCCAAAAAAGCTTTGTTTTTATTTTTTAGAATGTAAAACAATTATTTTTATATATTGAGTCTATTGCTGCTGAATAAAAATCGATAATTTATTTCATGTGATATGAAAATAAAATTTATATTTTTTTGAAACCCGCGCCTTTTGGTTAAATATTTATCTCTTTTGAACCATTTCCAGTTCTAAAAATTTTCTGCGCATATTTTAAATTTTAGGTTTTTGCTACAGCAGCACCATCTTTGGTCTTCCCTTTTTAATGACCATTTTTAATGCACAAAGATATCTCTCCTCACCTCTACACTCTATAACTCGTACCAACTTATGTATATTAAAGAAAAATTAGGTGAGATGAACTATTATACAGGGTGGTCCAAGCTGTATTCCGGAAACTTCGGCAGCATATTTTGCAGATTTTGATGTCAATATGACTCTTATTTGTAGGGGGCACCACAAAGATATGTTTTTACTGTTTTGAAGAGTAATAACTTTTCGTTCGTACCTATATAAAACTACTGAGTGAAAAAATACACATTTCCGTGATTTTTTATGTAAAAATGTCTCTTGGTAAAAATCGCTACGAGCAACCGTTCTCAAGATATTAATGGAAATAGGCAATACATCTCATTACTGACAAAAAAAATAAACATTATGTTGAGTAGATAGTTATTTGATTGAAATGATTTGGAAACTTTTTATTTTTTTAAATTAATCAAACTTTTTTTCGAAATAACGATAAAACAGTTTCTGTTGAACTTTTGACACAAAAACATTTCAAACTTATGATTTTAGTCTAATAACTATTTAGTTATTTTTAACTTATGTCAATGATGACAGGTATTGATAATTTCGATTTCAAATATCTCGAGAACCATTACTAGTAGAGATTTTTGTTTACCAAGAGACGTTTTTTAAAGCTCATGCTATTTAGAGAATCAATTTAAAAAATGGAAAAAATATTTATAGAGAACGTTGTGCGTAACCTTCAATGAGGGTTGTATCATGATCCTAAAGGTTCACGAATGTTCGCGAACGTTTCCTCTTCACGAATAGGAACGTTTTGTATATTATAACACTACTAATGAGAATAAAACTTTGAAAATTTATGCCTTACCGACTTTTCTGTTATGTAAAGCTTCGTCTTGTTCAACCTCACTGGCTTTATTTGGTATGTCCAACCTAGTGACCAACGGCTGACCAACTCCAAAATCGTTGACAGCCCTGACCATCACCAAATATGTATGCTGAGTGGACAGGTTTGTCAGTAAAGTCGACCAAATCTCTACAAAATAGTAATATTACAGAGTGAGTTTGACGTTAGTACTTTTTGAAGTATTTTTCTAAGAATATAAAATATATTACCTCCGTTTTCGTCAGAGTCTTTCCAACAAAACTGTGACTTTCCATGACTAATGGAAACGTTGTATTCGATCAGGTTTTCCAGTGACAGGTTGGGATCGATCGTGTACGATATGACGTAGCTCTTTAAATTTCCGTAGTGGTTCTTTGGTGGTCGCCAATAAACACACGCAGCCGAAGAATTTATAGTTTTGTACTCTAGATCTTCTACTAAAGAAGGCACTGCAAACAAAAAAAAAACAACGCTAACTAAAGATGTATATTAATTATCGACAACTGATATAAATTATCATATTATCAGTGACAAAAATGAAGGCAACTTTGTATATAGGGTGTTTCAAAACAAATGCGAAAACCTTAAAGGGGCTATTCCTTGTTTAAAATAAAAAGTACTTTGATAAAGTACAGGGGTCAAAGGTTATTTGTTAGGAAGATATTACAGAAATGGCTGAAAAATAAAGTTTTTATAATAAATTTGGAGTTATTTTGAAACTTTTTAACCTATGGTATTTTTCTCAGTAAACTTACTGGTTGAAAAGTAAAAAATATAATGTAAATCTTTATATGTTTGAAAATATTTATTTTAATAAAAAAATCTAGCTGACTGCTGTCTCTTACTAGCGTTGTTCATATTACTTTATTTGACATTCTCAGTTAATTTAAATGCAATATATTGTGGTCAATTTAAACAAAAAATATTTTTAAGGATTATTTTGCAGATTTACATTTTAGTTAATTCTAAAATATGTTGTTTGTAAGAAAATTTAACATGTTTGAGGCAAGAAATCACTCCTTTGGTGTTTTTGGTGATATGTTTTAAACACCAAGTATAATCCGAACATTGGACTACAGAATACTTAATTATCATATATCGTCAGTGAAACGTGATAACCTGCTAACTCCATTTTTTACGTTAATAAGTTTTTTTATACCATTAGAAAGACAAAAAAATACTCTATAAGTAGGGAAAGCAAATACATTTTTTCCTATTAAAGAAAATTTGCAATTTTAACTCAATAATATCTGCTAACTCCCAGTGATCTGAAATAGCCACCGAAATGCTGCTAAGTCCTTAATTTCCGTTACGACCACGCTAAAGCAAACACACGGATTCTTACTCGTATATTTCTTTAGGACAGTACTTCGATCCAGGGTCGCACTAGGCCAAAGGGGCCCGGGTGGCAATGTAAGAAGGGGCCCATGTGGATTTTTTTTGCCTATTTTTTCGCCTTACGTTTTGGTCAATTTTTCCCTATTATATACAGGGTGAGCCTTAAATAAATGCAAATATTTTGAGGGGTAGTATATTTCGACCCAAGAAACACGATTATGAGGGTTTTTGGGCGAAATTTTTTTTCTTGAAAATTTGAAATTTAAAAAAAAAATTGAATTTTTTTTAATTTTTAGTTTAAAAACATACTTTGTTTGTAATATGGCAACATAGGTAGTAGATTAAATTTACAAGAAAGAAAATCCAATGATTCTCAAAATTATAGCAAAAAATTGGAAATTTTAAAAGTGAAATAACTCCATTGTTTTGGATTTATTTGAAAAAACCGTAAAGACAAAATATTATGCTTCTTTTAACGAGATTTACCAGCCCTGAAAATATTTGCACTTATTTAAGATACACCCTGTATAGAAATCAGGGAACCACCCAAATGCAAGGTAAACCAATGCAATGCAAATGCCATAATGCAATGCAAAAGCAAATATTGTTAAGAATAAATAAAGAACTATAGAGGGGGCCCGGGAAGGCTGGGGCCCCCCTATCGTAGTTATATATATAATATGGCCAGTTCGACCCTGTGTCGATCTGTTCTGTAAATACGGGGTATCCGTAAAGGGTAAGGGAAAAACAATATTCTCCATATACGAACAATTCATCGGCGTGCTATAAATAGTTTAAATAACATTGCTTACTTGTACAAGAATTTCCATAATACCTAATCAGTTTAATTTTTTTCAACGTTTTTCCACGTAAATGATACATAATTTTTATAAAAATTAAAAAAATAAGGAAAAAAGTAATACAAATTTAATAAAATCACGCACTGTTTTCCAAGCTCGGTCTACTACCGTTGTATAAAAATTAGGATAAGCATGGAAGGATTCTATCATATCTTCTAAGAATTATAAGTTTAATTTTTAAATGATTTTCATATTCATTAAATCCAAAATGCTGCTCTTTAAAAATGCATTAAAAAGTTATTCGTTTTTGGACTTGTATGTTTTGCTTCTAGACCGACGATATTACAAATATATGGTTATGAATATCATGTTTTTTAAATTTAATTGATTATTTCTAAATCTGTTTGGGTAATATTCAATTCCATTTTCAAAATTTCAAACAATAAAGGTTGCTATCTCCAGAAATATATTTTTATTTCTTATTTCTGCAAGACGAATATCTGCTATCTCCCTATTGTGTCTGAAAAAAATGATGTAACACGAAATATTGAGTTATATTGTTTCCCAGCAAATAAAATTCTTATCTCTTTATCATATTAACGCATGAAAATACTTCCTACATGTGTACATATTTTTTGTACCGTTTTTAGCTCTCCTGTAAAATTAGGAATAATGGAGTTAGCAGTTTATCACATTTCACCGACGATATAAGGTAATGAATGCTTTTAGTTGTAAGTTGTAATCCACAATAATACACTTACAAATAATCAATATGACGGGTAAAGGGAAAAAACAGAAAGATGTCACAAAACTGACTTTTACAAAGAAAACTGATTTGATGTTGTCAAATATAACGTTAAAGAAAAAAAACTATATGCGTTATTATTCGGATATCGTTTATTATATTCAATTAAAATTTAGCATGTATTTGAGACTTAGTCTCAACACAGATTAAGTTGATTACTACTAACCTAACCTTACCCTTCATATATGTGTGATAAAAACATGTTTTTTTTTTTCAATTTATTTTATCAATAATAACTGAGTATTATTCATAAAAATAAGTTACTTACCGTCAGCAAGTGTGTGAATTTTTAGCGAATTGGATATAGCACCGGAAACATTATTGGCATCGTGGGCTCTAACTTTGAACAGGTAGTCCGTATTTGGTGTCAGTTTTGAAACAGAGAATTTCGGAGAGTAACTGTAACAAAATAAACTACAGGGAATGACAATAATCAAATGACAGATTCTTTTTATTTTACTATACGCTTGGTGCATTTCAGTTGATTTCAAAAAATTCCGACCGCGGCGCTGTATACGGCAGAAATCAGAAATGTTCGCTATGTATTTCACGCCGTCCCGGTTACAGTTTATGTTGATCGCATTAAAATAATATTGAAATCGTGGTTTTGTCATAATATATAAGTATTTTAGTTTTTTGTTAGTGCAGTTATTGAGACTATAAAACACTCAGGTATGAGTTTTATGTGATGTAACACTGTTTCGGGAAGTAAAAAATAACTGAAAAAGAATCCGAACTAGACGTCGCGTCGTGTTGTGAAAATTTCAAATGTTAACGCGTAAAGGAGAGCGTAATTAGGGCGTTGTTGGGTGCAATAACATTCAATAACTCAACTTTCCCGGATATTCAACTCTCCCAAAACAACATTTTATAGCTTCACAGTTTCTCACACCGATTTGATCAAAAGCAAAAATGGATTCAAGCAGTTCGACGAAACAAGTGAGTAAACAAAGTGTCCGTTACATAATCAAATAATTAAATAGACCTACTGTGAGAGAATAAAATATAATTTGCAATATTAATGGTATACTTTTTTTAATCAACTAGTGATTAAATGTTTTATAAACATCTTCTAAAATTATAAGTATGTGCCTTTAAAAAATTTCGTTATAGCCGAAATACCCTATTATAACCCCACTAGCAAAACCGGTGATTAAAACTAGGCTCGCTACCATAGTTGAATTCATCTAAAAAGTTTTTTTAGCTGGAATAATAAATTATAATACAAGTTAGACTTTCTGAAGATATCAAAATATTAACTTTTTTACTTTTATTTTTAGAATTTTCACAAATAAATACTTCCTAACGCTTTTAGAATAATTATAAATTGTATAATACATTTTTCGTATACTCGCTATTTAAAACCGTGTATTTGTATATACTACTTGTTTACGATATTCTACGATGATGGCAGCACCAGCGGAGAATGCACCAAGCCTATATAAAAAAAAGTTGAAAACATATTCAATAACAGGAAAAAATTGAACACACCGATTAAAAAGAATAGAAATTGAAATAGAGACAGTAATAAGGATAAGTTATCAAGAAAATTGGCGAGATTGCAAGGAGGTTTCAATATGACTTTCATTTGATCAGTAGTTTTCGATTTTTATTGTGACTTAAGTGATATTAGTAAAAATACTGGCCCACCCTGTATATTGTTCCACTCACCTTCGAATAAAATCGTCCTCTTCGCAATCCCTATTCTCTTTGGCAGGTACGTAGCACACCGTGTAGAATTTAGCACCGGCAACCCGGTCCCAGGATATCTTGGTACTGGTAGACGTGGAGGATATCTCGTGGAGGTACTTGGGGGCGCGCAGCTCGCTGGAGGTGTCCGAGGAACCGTTCTCTGCGTCCTGGAGGTCGGGGATGATGTACATGGTCCAGGAGGCGTCGCGTTGACCGATGGCGTTGTTCTCGGTGGTTACCCTGAACTGGTAGTCGGTCGAGGGTATCAGATCTGTCATGGAAAAAAAAGGATTATTTTTAATGAAAAAGAATTTTTATATGGTAATCGCAAAATATTTTCCGATGCACGTCATCAATCATATCGAAATTGACACTAAAGCATATAAACCTGACAAATAAAATGTTGACAAAAATTTTTAAATTTGTTGTATAATTTAAGATTTAAGATACAGACCAACTCTTCATTTTATTTTATAGAGCAAATGATTGTAACAGGTATTTTATTTAGATTAAAGCTGCAAAAATTAGTTTAAAGCGATTTTTATGATCGCTATGTTGTTGGTCACATTGCGCAATCAGCAATGTTCATAAATAAATGCAACAAGTTTAGATTAGAAAGCCCGTAAAAATTTTAGGTCGCGACCGTTATACGCGATCTGGCACTGCTATAGCGGTTGCTAAGAACAACCGCAAACAAAAACAGAAATAATTTTCTCTTGTCAAAGTCACTCTTCAAAAATCATAAAATCTTTCAAAATCTAAACCGCTCTCATTGAAGAAATTCCGAAAAGTGTTTATAGCGTCCATTTTCAAAGTAATTATTGCTATCTTGTGAGTTTAATTCAAGTTTTATTTACTCCAACCCGTAATAATTGTGAAAAAGTGGCATTAAAAACTTAAAAAGCTGTGCTGTGAACTGTAAAAACCATCGTGGATCGTGACAAAACATAAAGTCGCCGTCGGCTTCCAATGTTTCATAGGTATTTCATACATGTCCGTATATAAAATAAAGTTTCTTGTATGCAACACACTGTATTTTATTAATAAAATTAAAAGAAAATAGTAATAAATTTGAATAAACAATATTTGGCGATATAATTCCGGAAAAAGCCGAACCGCTGCGAAATTTTCAAAAGCTTTGGGTCGCGACCGTTGCAAGAATAGCGCCAAATTGTGTTTACATTGTCCTTATGGGCACTTTCAAATCTAAACTTGTTTCATTTATCTATGGCAATGTTGTCGTTTATTATTTGACAATTATCATGTCAGTCGTTATTTTGTATAATATTGTGTTTAATAGTTTAATCTTTGGGAGTAATTTTCGTTTTTTTTTGCCGATTTTTAGTCTTTTTTAAAAATTGTACTTTTAAGCACAAAGAGTTCTTTTAAAAACTAAATTTACGAGTTTTTGTATTGCATTTCTTGAAATTGCGCATTGAAAATATGGCAAAGCATTTAAACAGTCGAAGCAAAGAGCTTGTAGCTTTTCTGAAACTATTTTGAACGAGAACGTGACAATAAAGGTCCTTATTACCCTTGACTGCAGTCAGAGAAGTAAGTTTGATTGATAAGCACATTATACCACTTTCAAAGTTATTTCTACTTATTTCGATTTGTAGCGGGTAGCTAGTTAATAAGTAAATTAATCATTCAGATATTAATTATTAAATTAAAAATAAAACATAAAAATCTTTTTGTAATAGAATCTTAGCAATTTGTCTTGAAAAGAACGCACAGAAACAAAAATAAAATGCATAGAGACATCCCCAAGGTTATTTTAGATTATTCGTCTCTGTTTTCATTATTTTTTTAATAGAAACATTAAATTTTACTAAGTTGTCAAATATTTTCAACGCATGGTTTAATAACTGGTAAACGTATGTGACTTCAGAACTTACCTGTTACAATTAGTTTTCTTTCCATTGTTATTTCTGAAGTTATCTGCTTTTCGTCGCCCTCCCTGTACCATTCCACTACATAAGGATCTTTGGTACCGTTGCACAAAACATCAGAACTCAGCTTGTTCCATTTCAGTACCAGGGTGGTACTATTAATGACGTCAATATCCAAATTTCGAGATTCTTTTAAACCTAATAGAAAAAATACCCTCCTGTTAGAATCTGTAAGTTCAAATTCATTATTGTATCCAAAATGGTATATTTTCAATTTCACCCTGTATCTTATAAACTAAATGGGGTATTGAATATTTAAAAAACACAATATTTTATCATCAACAGCGAAAATAGGGACACACTGTACAGGTTTTCTCATAGATACGGTTTTCGTGTGTTTTACAGGGTTTCTCGTTTATGAGTAGAGGTACAAAGATGCTGTTTTCACATTACTGTGCTATTTTTTTGATATTAAACATATGCTACACACAGATTTGTCCTAGTCCTCTTAGTTCCTGAAATACAGGGCAAATTTGAAATTGTTGCATTTTTCGACTACCCTCGTATCTCTGTTAATCTATAACTTCTCGAAAAGGTGAAACTGAGTCCCGTAGAGTTTTTCACATAGAATCCAGTGACGCAACTAGTTCTTCGCTGAGAGCTGTCATTCTTGCAATATAACCCAAACTTATGTTTTTTTTAAATGGGACACCCTGTACATTATTTTTTTATTATATTTACCCTGTTATGAGCTTTCTAAAAATAGATACTTTAAACTTATTTTCATAAGCAAGGTAAAAACATGCCTTATTTAACTTTTAACATAATTGGATTTAATTGGCCGGTTTAAATTGGGTAATCAAAACATTAAAATAATTTATTCGACGTCAAATTTTGGTTATTGGCTATTCCAAGTTAGTTTCTGTGTGTGAAATTACTGCACAAGTGCATCTCTGATTGACAGCATGCTGATATAAAAGTCTGACTGACAGTAACGTAGTAACAGTAGATTGATAGTAACAGTAGTGTAAAGTAAACGCCACGAATGTTTGGGAGTGATTCATCGCTTGATGAAATTATAATCGACACGCGCGCTATCATTTTTACATTAAAAACGTAAATTTTTACCGCAGACGTAGGTTTTTAAAGCCCGGTCTAATCATCTGCCTGCGCTCCTCCTACTTATTCTAAAATGTTAGCGTGATTGACAAAGACGATACTATATCGCGTTTCTTTGATTGATTCGTTTTTGTGCGTCAGTCCATTGGTGTGCTTGCAGTGCAACCAATGGGGCATTCCATTTTATATTTATAACCAAATATATGTTTTGACAAGACTTTGACAGTTAAAACAACAAATTACAACAGATTATATATTGATTATTATATGACTTGAAACACCACGGCACTGGAATTAATTTTTATGTGACCTTGAACAGATTAGTTCACATGGTAGCGACCGATGAATCACTCCCAAACATTCGTGGCGTTTACTATAGTTTATTAACATCATGGAAAGCAAAAATATCTGGTTAAATTAAACAAAATCTACATAATATATAAAATGGCAATGTTTATCTGTGTCGTCTCTACTGAAGTAACGACTTGCTCTAGAAAGTTGCTTTTTTTACTAAAAGATAGCTAATTGGCTCTTCTAAAAACTGCCGTCGCCGGATTTTTTGTTTTTCATTTAATTAAAAAATAAAAATAAAAAGTACTTTTTTTCCTGATGTCATGGCGGATGCGCCAGGCTTCAACTAGTAAAATAATAATACTTTTTTAAACAAGGTTGATTAATGTTAAAAACTTAAATAATGAATTAAATAAAAATAATATACAGGGTATCTCATTAAAAAAAATATAAGTTTGGGTCATATTTGAAGAATAACAGCTCTCAGCGAAAAACTATTTACGTCACTGGATTCTACATGAAAAACTTTCTAGTGGACACAGTTTTCAATTTTTCAAAAATGCAATATTTAAAACGCGCCCTGTATTTCAAGAACTATGAAGACTAGGACAAATCTGTATGTAGTATCGTTGATTGAACAAATTGGGAAGATGCGCAACTTAATGAGCAAATTCGTGACAAGACTGATTTGATTTCCCCTTACGTCTCAAGTGCTGTATGGTGAAGACACCAATCGTTCTGCGGTCAACGCATAAAACACTTATTTTCTCTAATTCGGCCAGTGAAAGCATATCGAAGACGATGTGGATCTGACAGCGATATTATTGCCATATTAAAATGTGTAATATTGGTAATACGTTTGACGAAAATATCTTGGGATGAAAAATCCGCCTTTATGTATTGTAAATTTATTCGTGTTAAACGTAGAATAAACAACAAAAATAAAGATTCTCTTATAGGTACTGAATAAGTTGTATGATCAAAAAATGTCGTTTAATTGACTTGGGAAATTGATATTTACCATGATATTTTACATATAAAATAACAGCGATCTTCATTTCCAAGCCAACTCTGACGCCGTTCTTTGTTTAATCATATAATATTATATTAAATTGTTTAACAATAGAAAATCTGTATTATTAACGTACTGTACCCAAAATCCGTAAATCTACGGATTAATCAGTAGTTCTGGCAATACTGTCTCCAGCAACCACTCACTCTGGCGACTGAAAGCAGAACTACGGTACAGTATTCTTTATCCGCTGTAAGGGACTACTAGCGCGAAGCGGCGCGCGGCGCAGACCTAAACTAAATCTCGGAATTTTCAGACAGGTCCTCTGACGGTAACGCCAGCTACATCTCGGACAGGTTTTGTGCCACGAAATAGCCCATAAGGTTGCGCATCTTCTTATTTTTTCAATCAACGGTAGTATCTTTAGTTCCATAAAAAATAGCATAATAATGTGAAAACCGCATCTTTGTATCTCTACTCATAAACGAGAAACCCCATAAAACACACGAAAATGGGACACACTGTAAATATCTTCTACTTAACTGTATACAATTATGCTAAGAGCACACGCGTCTTCGAAACAGTCAAAAAAAAAAAGTCGTTAACATAACCTTATTATTCTCATTACATAATTGGCGCGATAAAAATAAGAAATAATAACACTAAAAGGAGAATAATAAACTTTTAAGAGCGCCCGCCGCCTAATGCCGGGAGAACAACAAAATTATAAAATCAAATTAAGAATATTAATGAATGAAATTAATTATAAATGAAATTTTAATGTGTTCCCTGTGCCGCTTGTTTATAATTTAATATGCCTTGCGTAGCGTATCGAAAATAAGCTTTGAAAAAATTATAATCACGGTGATTATAAGAGGCAAATAATAATCTATAAGAATTTTAATACGGTAGTTCATTAATAATTGTTGTAAATTGGTATATTACTGCAAAATTATATCAGTAATTCATGAAATTTCTCTTTCTTTTTATATCGTAAAAAATAAATTTATAAATGGCGTAAATACAGTTAGTTTGTAATACGAAATACAGGGTGTTCCATTTGAAGTAATAGAGAAGATACATTTGATTTTGACTTATTCTGTATATCAAACAACACAGCAAATTTAAATAAGCCGAATTTTGAAGAAAACACTATTATACGGTAGTTTGGATTAAAAAGTATTAAACATTACGATTTTAAGATTTTGAGGAAGCTTGATAAAGGACAAATTTAGTTTAAAAATGTCAATATTTCAAAAAGCACTCAGCAGAGAATAAATTACTTTCATAATAATAAGTAATATTTCTATAAGGCTAATAACTTTAAGCATCAGCCAAGAGAGTGCGACGGCAACAACATAGGTAAGAGGTGGTATAGACAGGAAACTACCTAACTTAACACGAAACCTCTATTTTGCACCATCTCTCCGTTTGAAAGCATACTACACTGGATGATTTCAGCGGGATTTGTGACTTTATATTAGTAAGCCGCTTCTGACAATTAGTCTCCGTTGGATTAACGCCAGCAGTGGTTACAAAAAATAACTATTTTATCTTGTAGATTTTCTTACAGTGGCGAAATACCCATAGGACTTTTTTGGAGAAATAGACATAAGTGTATGTACCTGTTTGACAGGTGATCTTGTCCGAACGATCGCTGGCATGCTTCGAATATAACCTCACGTAAAAGGTGTAATTTGTACTAGTTTTCAGGCCTTCTGTCAGCAGAAACGTTTCGGTTACAAGAAATTCAGGTCCTGCCATTTCTTCACCATCTTCTGCAAAAAATAACGCAAATAGAGCTGTTTAACCAGGTTCATTACTTATAATAGCTGTCAAATTTATTATAGAAAAATGCCTGTATTATAGATACCATTATTCAACTGAAAATAAAAATACAGCACCTACATTATTTATTAAATTTATTTACAACAAAATTAAAAACAAATAACAAAATTAAAAACTTGTTATAAAACTACTAATCTACACTACTCAAAACAATTATCGCATTTTGGGGGGGGGGGCCCCCAATAAAAGTAATTATTACACATTTCTAAATGAATGCATTTTTCTGCCTTTCTCTTATGCGTTTTTTAAAGATAATTAGGGTACGCCATGACATGTAATTTTTAGTCGGCCGACTATTTAGTTGCAAAAGTGAAAACAATACATTCTTATGGAGCCGATCGGCCCAATATTTGATTGCAACCTCAGGCTATTCACTGACAGGCAATTTTTAATCGGCCGACTATTTAGTTGCATATTTGTAACCAATATATCCTGATGGAGCCGCGTTAACATGCAATCAAATAGTCGGCCGATAGACTTCATAAGTATGTATTGTTTTTACTTTTGCAACTAAATAGTCGGCCGACTAACAGGACAGCGCGTAGGCTTGCTGCTCAAATTTCCCTTCACAGTATCCATACTATTTAAAATCGTAAGAAAGGGAATTCAAAGTGTCTTGTTTTTCAAATTAATATTTATGTTTTAGAAAATATGCGATAATTGTTTTGAGTAGTTTATATGAGTAAATAATGTATATTACAAGTTTTGTCGAAAAAAACTGATGTTGCCAAATTTAACCATACAAAAGAAAAATTTCCCGGTATTACCTATACATTTAATATATTTATAGTTTGTTTCAACATTTATAATTATATATATGCTAAGAATTTTAACGTAGTCCCTGTTAGATGTATATTTATTAATTTAACTGATTTCCTTCATTCGGACTATTAGAAAAGGTAAATATTTCCTATACATATCATCCGCTTCGGACTAGCGGCAACGTTGAGAAAATTCATCATGGCACCCCGGTTTCATCAACCTGATTGGTGGAGATTCTCGCACGTTTCGTGGCCACGCGGTAGCCATGCTCATAACGTTTTCTTATTGGTCATTTGTAACTACAATTTTAGGTCTTCCCCAAAAATAGTAGAATTATTGACTAGTATTGAAATATCCAGTGGCGGCGTTGTTATATTTTATACACAAGCTTTAAAAACATGAAATTCACCCCAGATGAAAAAAAAAATCAAAAAAATAAAAAAAACTTACAATAATGTGGTAAATATTATACAACACGCACTAAGAAACCCTTTATTTTTTTTTCATCTGTAAACAAGGTTATAACTTACTTGTAAAATACGAATATACACTGTACGCTTGGGCTGATACGTTTGGAGGACTCTTCCACGTGATACAGACTCTTTCGCTGTCAAACGGACGACATTTGACGTTTTGAGGAGGACTGGGACTTTCAGAATTGTTAATCTCCACCTGAGCAGCTGTCGAAATTTTACCAACGGAATTCACTGCAACACACTGGTATATTCCTGCAAAAATAAATTAATATAACCCATTATCAGTTTTGCTTGCCAGTACGGAGGTAATGTAATGTTTGCTAAGAGAAAAAAAAACGATTTTGATGACATCCAAAAATTAGAAAATACACAATCTATTTACCCGAATCTGTGGTAAAAGTATGACTAAACACCAATCCCGTCCACTGTTTCTTGATCCTGCCCCCGATCGTGACAGGTTGACCGTCTTTCAGCCAATAGACTCGCGGTTGGGGCACGCCCTTCGCCTGGCAGTCCAGTCGGACCGTTTTGGCGGAGGGCAGTCGTTTGGAGGTGGGCGTGGCATTGAAGAAGGGTTTCTGATGCACTTCCAGGCTGAAACGTTGCCTGGCCTGGCCGTTAGGGTTCTTGGCCACGCAGGTGTAGTTGCCGGAATCTTTGGGATGGACTTTGCGAATGGTAAGTGTGGATGAGTTGCTTATAACTGCGTTGGAGCCTGAAAAATGTGTCAAATATAGTAAAGTTCTCGAGTTTGTATAAAAATATGGACAACTATGGCCTCTAACCACTAAAACATGGTCTGCAATCTCTGATTTTGAAGTATATCCTCTGATTTTATGAGTATAACGTCCTTTAAGTTAAATTTGGTCTTTGCAGTCTCCTAATGAAAGATTTTCCATAACAACATGGTACCTGATACGCATTCTCAATTCGCAAATTGGTCTAAGGCAATCCCAATCAATTTTTGATAAAATTCATCAATTTTTGAGAAAAAAAAACATCACGCCACCTTCACGCCACTGATAGAGCCATATGACAGAAAGATCGAAACTCAACCGTGTTGTCATATTTCGTTTACCAACTGTACCCATCTCCTTTTTATTCTCATAAAAGTGTCAAACCGTGTATGATTCAATTATTATAACAAATACTAAAATTATAATAAGATGTTTCATGACTCCGTATTGCGTTACAGATAACTTACAAGAAACGGTTTATCAGATCCAAACATTGTGAGAATATAATTTTTAGAAAGCCAAAATAAAATTAAAAAAACGTCATATTTTATTAATTTCTTAGGTATCAACCAAAGGTATCAACGATATCAGAACTATATCACAAGAAAACTTAAACTAAAATAAGATATTTCATATCTTATTTTAGTAGAACAATACAACTTACAAGAAACGGTTAATCACATCCAAACATATTATGAGAATATAATTTTTAGAAGGCCAAAATAAAATGATCAACATCATATTTTTTTAATTTCTTACGTATCATAAAAACCAATATCAGAACTATATCACAAGAAAACTAAAACTAAAACAAGATATTTCATATCTTCTTTTAGTTTTAGTTCTGTGACTCTCTGTTGTGTGTTAAAATTAACTTACAAGAAACTGTTGATCATATCCAAACATATTATAACAATATAATTTTCAGCAAGCTAAAATAAAACGGCAGGCTATATTTTAATAGTTTTTTAGGTAGGTAACATAAAAAATAACGTAATAAGAAAACTAAAACTAAAATAAGATATTTCATGACTATGTAGTGTCTTAAAGTTAACCTACAAGAAACTGTTTATCATATCCAAACATATTGCGACAATATAATTTTGAGGAAGCTAAAATAAAGCGACAGCTCATGTTTTATTAATGAAGTCTATGTACATTTTATAAAACCTATCAAATTATACATGTCGGAAATTTGGAAACCACTTCCTGTTTCATTTGACAGGCATAGTTAGATAATTTTCATATAAAATCAAGAGAGTTTATTACCACAAAAATATGATGGATAAATTAATCTACTTTAAAAATCTACGGGGATTTTTAGTTATATTTTATACAAGAAGATAAAATGGTCTTCCGAAATTAATTCACTCGCGATTTCATCGTTTGTGAATTAATCTTTTCGGTCGACGATTTTTCCATAGCGAGTTACGTTTTAAAAAATATTCAGACATTATTATTTCAAGGAATTTATTACGAGTAGAAAAAATATTGTGCTGGGTTGGCTTTGATTTCTATGTAATTTGACAAATAAATAAAGCTGTCTCTTTAGATGTCAGTTTTGAGTCAATATTTTTTAATTTTATTTCGTGTCGATTGCTGATTGAAATGGAACCAGAAATGGCTCAAAACGAAATAAGTAAATTACCAACAAACATTCAGGCTGAGGCGACAAACGCCATATCCAAACTACTTCCATTTAAATCCCGAATAACTTATGAAAAGGAATATAAAAATTTTCAAAAATGGAGGCAATTAAAAAAAGTGCGAGATGGAATAAAGTTTTTAACCTATCCTCGCTGTTAAAGTATCATTTAATCTACCCTTGCGGTTAAAGTACTATTTTATCTACTATTTTTGATAGATATCAGGCAATTTTAACAGTTGCTATGGAAAGAAAATAAAATTATGCAGTGGTATTTACAAAAAATTACTTTTTATTTTGTAGATTCTATTAGCGAAAAACCTAGAACTCTTTTCGAGGAATAAAAACATTATCGGTCCAAGATGTTTATTATAATTTACCACTTCCAAACAAACCAAAAATACTCACTATTCAGCCATTGTACTGTAGGTAGGGGATAACCGGAAGCGATGCAAATAAAATCGACCGCTTCGCCATCTAGCGCCGATTTGTTGACAGATGAATTAACTAGCATAATCGTGGGAGGTATACTGTCTACGGTTAAAGGTACAACACTAATTTCTACATCTTTACTGTATTTAGTTTTCTTGAGTATAATATTTTCTGCTATGCATCTGAAAAAAATACAAAAACAAGCCTTAGAAATGAGTCTTCTTGTAATGACATGCTCTGTATAGAGCGTAGGCTACCTCTCGTATATTTCATATCAATTAAACTTTTAGTTACGTAATCAAGGACGCGATTTTTAAATTCATTGTTGCCAACCATGGACATATTCGGTGCCGTGCTGACTAATTGGAATTTTAATTTCGCTGGGGATATTCAGGTGGTAGCTCTGCTGTAAAAAAATTCAAGTTGCCGCTTTTATTTATTTATTTCCTGACATTGTCATTCGTTTTGATACTTTAGTTTTGTATTACGAGTTTTTGGTTTAAATAAATAGTGTTGTAATACTTTAAGCTTGAAAATGTTTACTAGCAGACCTTGCAGTCGAACATTGTTCTTTTTAGAACCCCTTTTAGTGCGAAGATAGCTTAATAGCCGTAAAAAATTCATCGCAACTTTATTAGAATATTTTGAACGGGAAAGCGATAGTAATGGCCCTTTATGTCCCTTAAGTGCTGTTAAGAAGGTGAGTTTTGTTGATGTAAATAATAACTGTTGATATATTTATAATTTATTTATTTTTAAATAAACAAAAATACGCGTAGCAAAAAAAGGGGCCAAAAACCCTTGCTTATATGCTTATTCTCTGCATTAATTTCATCAGACCGAAGGGAACAGCCATTCGACGACCGGTTTCGGAGATTTTTCTCCATCATCAGGCCGACTCTGCTGTAACCCTCGATATTAACGTGGTAACGTGGATGAAGCAAGCATGTTTGTCCAGTAGGCCGCTGGTTTTATTTTGGCGGTACGATCTGTGATTGTCACAGCTACCGCTAGATGGCGTAGAGCGTCTAGCTTTAAGTCGAAAAAGATATATCAAATTAATAAGTAAATTATTAAATTACATTTCAATACCGTTTGTTAAGGAATTAATCAGACGTTTAAAAAAGATATTTAGGAATGTCTTGAGAAACATTCTTAATTTCTTCCTTTTCTTTTTAAAGGCAAAAAAATAGGAACTCACCTATAATTTCCTGTATCGGAAAGCTTGGTATTTCTTATTAATAAGGAGCCATCAGGCAAAGGAACATATCTGAAAAGAACCAAGAAAAGAGGCATTTATTACAGAAATCAATAGAAAATTAAGGAAAAATACCTATTTTAATAAAAAAAAAACAGAAAAACTAGAAAGTCATAAAAATTATAAAAAATAAATCCAAAAAAGAACAACTAAACAGTAAATACTAAATACATAGCATATAGAGTAAATTATAAAGCTTACCGTTTGTCTTTTGGTAGAGGTAGTTGGTTGAACTCCCACTGGATTTCAGCGGGAGGCGTCGAATGAACACTGCAGTGAAGAAGGATGGGCTGGGTTTCGTAAATAGTGAGGTTATAGGTAAGCGCGGTCACATCTTTATCCATTGCTGCAAAATAAAAACCAAAAAAATGTTAAAATAGAATAAAATAAATTCGTATATACAGTAGGGTACACCAACATTTTTTTTCTTTTTAGTTACCGTGAAGATATCGTTAAGGATGATGAAAAAAAATTCTGGTAAAGTTTCAATCGTCTTTTTCTATTTGCCATTTAAATAACACAATGAAACATTTTTTTTTCTTTGGAATTTTATTGATCATGCTGTTTTACTGCGAAAAAATTAACAGTTACTGTGATTTATAATCACAATAACCTTATTATAGTTTGGTAACAAATAATTAATTAAAACATATAAACAAAAACACTCACTTGCCAGTCTGACCCTCGCCGTCCTCGACATCACCGCTCCCACTTCGTTCCGCGCCAAACAAGCGTACTCCCCCGCGTTGCCCCCTCCGCTGCCACCCTGTCCCGCCCTCTTACCCCCTCCAGCTACGCGCAGCAGACGCAAGGCCACGCCCCCTTCCTCCAAACGCCAGCGGGCGAGGCCTGGCGCGAAGGCGGGACCGTCTTCGGCGAACAGCGACCGGCCCTCGTACAGCCACGTGACGGAGGCGTTGCCGCGGGTGGAAACGCAGGCGCAGCGAAGAGTGACGTCGCGGTTGCGGGGCGTGACCACGTCCGAAGGCTCTTCGACGAAGCGGAGGGAGACATCGGGAGAAGGCTGTTGCTGTTGGGGGCGGACGTACGAGGGGGCGTGCTGGGGGTAGTGGTTGTCGATGGGGAGGGACGGTCTGTTGGCGCCGAGTAGAGCTGTAAAGAGAAAGAAAGTTAGGTTAAATGAGGTATTATAACATATTATTATAATTTAGTAAAGTACTTATTATAATATAGAACAGTAATTTAAAAAAATGGCATAATGACATATATGTGTATAATAATATGCCACGCGCTAAAAATCGTCAGAAAATGTCTTTTATACTCCGTTACACTCAGGAAATTTTTAGAATTTTTTGAAGTGGTGGAACAATATGAAAAAAATTAAAAACTATTTTTTTCTAAAATCTTCTGTTTTAACTAACTTATTTTTTTTAGTTTAAAAAAGGTAGGTAGAAAATATTTTTTTACTTCAAATTCACAATGATATTATTACACATTTTCAATCATATTGCTACGCAATGAATTCGAACGAAAAATTCACGTCAAGCTGACGCATTATAACGCCATCTGCTGGGATTTTCAGTTTCAGTAACTAGCAATCATATTCCTCTAAAGTTTCAATATCATTGTGAATTTGAAGTAAAAAAATATTTTCTAAGCACTTTTTAAATTAAAAAAAATATAAGTTAGCTAGAACATTTAAAAAAAAATGATTTTTAATTTTTTTCATATTATTCCACCACTTCAAAAAATTCCCGAGTGTAAAGGAGTACAAAAAACATTTTCTGATGATTTTTAGTGTGTGATATTTCACAAAGGTTAAAAAAATGAAAATTTTAATTTTCTTTCCTCCGCTAAAAATCGGCTTTTCGTTTAAGAATCATGATCATATTATTTTTTCATGTCTTAGACTTATAAGAATTAGAAAAAAAATCATCATTAATTAATTTTGAATTTTACTATAAAAATAAAGATAAAATTGAAAAAACAGTTTTTTTTGAAAAGCTCGAAAACCGTTTGAGTTAAAGAGCTAAACATTTAGGTGAATTATTTTGATTCGACAACAAATCGATCCCCTGAGTACGAGTCAAAAAAGCCGCGGGACAGATTTCCTATATTAATCCGGCTATACACTTTGGTGGTTGAAGTGCATATTGTTGCGGACCCGTGTGGACTCGGCATAACCTAACTAGCTAAAATATTCCGCCCCCATATGACCTTAATATCGCATGAAAGAATAGAAACCATAATGAATCATTCGAACATTCGAGAACCATCGAGCTCCACTGAAATGGAGTAGTACATACGAAAACATTCGAAACCTTCTCTCTGTACCTAATGATCTATGGATTATTCGAAAACATTTTAGCTGTGGGTATAAAAGCCGACGGCCGAGGCCTGAAATAGACAGAAGTAAATAGACAAGTACAGTTGTCGCGCTAAATTCAAAAATAAATTCTTTCTAGATAAATAGTTGTAATGTATATAGTTCTTTAAGGCTTTTAATCGTTATTGTTTGTTACTTAGTGTAAATAAATTGTGACTTTCTATCCACACGGAACCGACGAAAAACGTAACAATATATTGAGAAACCGCCAGTGTATTATATATCGCTATTATAGTGTTTTTGTCCTCAATAACATATTATTTTAATAATTCTTAACACTTTCAAATCAAACCCCAATTCAAAACCTGCATTTTTTTCATAAAAATACAATAAAAAGTAATGATTCGGGTAAAAAAAATTATTTAAATACTGTCTTAAAGTCAATATTAAAAAAATAACTAAACAAAGAATTCTAACATGAATATAATTGTAAGGGCCAAAATTTTTTTTTTATTTCAGGCGGTCAACTCAAATTAAAAATAAAAACCATAAAACAAATTTAAAGGGCGTAAATGTTGTATAATAAAATACAACTAATAATATAAAATAAAAATAATACTAATAGACGGTACGTTACTAATGGTAATAGCCAACTTTGATCTGGGCGCTGCAAATGGACAAATGTTGTAAAGCAACAAAAGTCTTGTATGACCTGGCTACCGAGATGACCTACCTGCAATTAAAGAGAAAAAAACATGGTGTGAGCAACAATGTTACCAGTTATTATTAAAATAAAGTGAATTTAAAATTAAACAGGTACTTAATAATGATTTATCAATAGTCCAACTTAAAAATACAAGTTTAAATAAAATAATAAAATGCCACACAAGCTAGTCACACAGACTATTAAAAAAACATGCCACAGAGGCTATCAAAACGCCACACAGGCTAAAAAATGCCACACAGGCTATCAAAGTGCCACACAGGCTATCAAAGTGCCACACAGGCTATTAAAGTGCCACACAGGCTAGTCACACAGACTATTAAAAAAACATGCCACACAGGCTATCAAAATGCCATACAGGCTAAAAACATGCCACACAGGCTAGTCACACAGACTATTAAAAAAATCCTCCAAACGCCAGCGGGCGAGGCCTGGCGCGAAGGCGGGACCGTCTTCGGCGAACAGCGACCGGCCCTCGTACAGCCACGTGACGGAGGCGTTGCCGCGGGTGGAAACGCAGGCGCAGCGAAGAGTGACGTCGCGGTTGCGGGGCGTGACCACGTCCGAAGGCTCCTCGACGAAGCGGAGGGAGACATCGGGAGAAGGCTGTTGCTGTTGGGGGCGGACGTACGAGGGGGCGTGCTGGGGGTAGTGGTTGTCGATGGGGAGGGACGGTCTGTTGGCGCCGAGAAGAGCTGTAAGGAGAAAGAAAGTTAGGTTAGATGATGTTTATATTATTATAATACAGTAAAGTACTTATTATATTATAGAAGAGTAATTAAAAAAAAGGCATAATGACATATATGTGTATAATAAAATGCCACTCACTAAAAATCGTCAGAAAATATCTTTTATACTCCTTTACACTCAGGATTTTTTTGAAGTGATGGAACAAAATAAAGAATAGACACCGTAATGATTAATTCGAACATTCGAGTTCCACTGGAATGGAGTAGTACATACGAGAACATTCGAAACCTTCTCTATGCACCTAATGATCTATGGATTATTCGAGAACTTTTTAGCTGTGTGTACAAAAGCCGACGGTCGGGGCCTGAGGACAGAAATAAATAGACGAGTACAGTTGTGGCAGTAAATTCAAAAATAAATTCTTTCTAGAAAAATAGTTATAAATAGTTTGTATATAGTTCTTTAAGGCTTTTAATCGTTATTGTTTGTTACTTGTGTAAATAAATTGTGACTTTCTATCCACACGGAACCGACGAAAAAGGTAACAATATATTGAGAAACCGCCAGTGTATTATATATCGCTATTATAGTATTTTTGTCCTCAATAACATATTATTTTAATAATTCTTAATACTTTCAAATCAAACCCCAATTCAAAACCTGCATTTTTTTCATAAAAATACAATAAAAAGTAATGATTCGATTCAAAAAAAAGTTTAAATACTGTCTTGAAGTCGATATTAAAAAAAATAACTAAACAATGAACATGATCTAACATGAATATAATAAACCTACTTATAAAAAAATCAGTGAGTCAGAGTTATGACCACGGACTAAACGCACAATTTTTCTAATTGCGCACTATTTGACACTATACCGATTTCTTCCTGACGTCAGTTGTGTATGTGTCGTGTTTAAAAACGTAGTAGAAACTAAGTTTTTATTACCCTATTTCGAAAAATGTTGCGTGCTGGTCATTTACCTTATAATAAATTTCTCAGCTGCTTTTATTTAGTTTATGTTCCGTCAGAATTATAATATTTTTACCCAGAAATTTAATTAAAATAATTAACACGATGTTAATTATTAGGGTAGGGCAGTGGCGTCCCCATGGGGGTATTTCCGGGTTAGAACGCACCAGCCCATGATGAATCATGATTTTTAGAATAAAAACATTAAAACAAAAATTTTGTATTTATATTTGTAAGATAAAAAAATATATATTTTCACTTTTTATTTTGATCTGCTCAAAAAGCGTGTTTTTTTGTTTCTGGAAAATTATTAATTTTCAATTTCGTGTAATGCAGTAGAAATAGTACACTATACCGGGTGCGTCTCAAAAGTGGCTCACCCCTATAACTTTTTTATTTCTTCAGATAAAAAAACGAGATTTGGCATGTTAGTATATGACATAAATTAGGATTAATTGACGTATTCAATTGTTTTTGGTCACTTTCTGTTTCACTGGAAATGACTTACTACAACTTTTGATTTTTAAATGGCACCCTCGGTATATTTCTACTTTATTCCATAGAAATTATTGACACTCTGAATAGAGTGACATCATATGTCAACTTTTGACATTTTCGCATATGGTTTATTTGAAATTGTAGCATGCGGTTCATAACGACAATTTGACTCGAAATACCAAGTGTGTGGTACCAAATTATTCGTAAAAAAATTCGCTTTTTACAAATATTCTAACTTGTTCCGTTTGAAAAAATTGAGATATGATTAAAAATACGATATGGGCATTTTTTAACCGACCACGAAAAGACACGAAAAACATTAGACGATCAAATCTATCTTTCCAAGGCTCCTTTAGTTTAGGGTTCCATTAGTATTGTTAACTTAGCCATGGATGGCACTCTAGATTGAAATTTAAAATACAATTTTTTTTATGCGAGAATGTCAAAAGTTGACATATGGTATGCCATTCTACTCAGAGTGTTATTCTCTATCAAATAAAGTAGGAATATACCGAGGGTGCCATTTATAAATCAAAAGTTGTAGTCGTTTCCGGTGAAATAGGAAGTGACCAAAAACAATTGAATACGTCAATCAATCTTAATTTATATCGTATACTAACATACCAAATCTCGTTTTTTTATCTGAAAAAATTAAAGTTATAGGGGTGGGCCAGTTTCGAGACGCACCCGGTATAAAATATCAGAATTCGAAGAGAAATGCATTCAGCAGTTTCAAATTTCCGAATTTAATTTTGGTATTAAATATTTTATTAAATGAAAAATTATAATCAATTCGTTTGACTAAATTTAATAAAAATTATTATTTCCGAAATATTAAATATACATATTATATTAGTTTTTTGGATCAAAGTTTACATTTATTTTAGGAACAAAATCGAATACAATCAAACATGTAATAATAATAAATTAATTAATTATAAAG